TTGGAAAGATTACGCATACATCACCTGAGATGTTCTTTCAAAAAATGTGTGTTTGGCTCTTCTGAATTGGATTATCTTGGACACAAAATAACGGATCAGTCAAACATTCCTCAAGAACAGCATATTCTTCGGGTAAAAACATTCACTAGACCAAGAACGATGAAAGAGTTGCAGTCATTTCTGGGCACAGCTAACTGGTTGCGAGAGTACATCCCAAATTTTGCTTCGTTAACGGCTCCGCTCACTGAACTTACAGGAAAAAAAATTTTCAAGTGGACACCACAAGCTGAACAGGCATTTAAAAAATTGCAAGAATCACTAAATCAACCTTTGATGCTACATCGTCCTAACCATGATTTGCCTTTCATTCTCCAGACTGATGCCAGCCAATATGGAATGGGAGCAGTTCTCTTTCAATGGGGTCCTGATGATCAGCGTCAGATTATTTGTTATGCTAGTTCAAAATTCAATAAATCAGAGAAGAAATACCACATCAACGAGCAAGAAACACTCGCTGTTGTTTGGGCATGTAAAAAATTTAGACCTTACCTAGAAGATAAGCCATTTACGTTGATAACGGATAGTCGTGCACTCACTTGGCTGGATAGATTCAAGGATGAAAAAGCTAAATTAACCAGGTGGTCCTTACTTCTACAAGAATTCATTTTTACTGTACAGCATTGTTCAGGAAAAGATAACCAGTTTCCTGATTTTCTGTCCAGAAACCCCTCTGAAGATGTCGAGCCAAATGACAGAGACGAGTACGATGATCGACTGGTACCTCCAACGATAAGTATTTTGGATACGGAGCGTGGATTGTACGAGACTGTTGCAAACGCGCAAGTTTCAGACATCGCTATACAAAGGGACATCGCCACTTGGCGGAGAATTCAAAATTCATCGATAGATCAGCTGAAAAGAAAAGAACGCGAGTTGAAATCGAAATATATTGTGGAGGATAGATTACTTTTTTACATTGGATCAAATACGAAAGCTATAGAAGTTTCAACGGAGGTCAGAGCGAAAGTTATACACGACTATCATGATGCGTCTACTGCTTGCCATCCTGGAAGGGATGAGACATTTAGATCAATAATTCAGAATTATCATTGGCAAGGTGTTTGGCAAGATGTCCGTCATCATGTAAGATTATGCTTGATATGTGCTTCAACAAAAGCAGGTGCACCTCAATCCAAAGCATCAATCAAACCAAGACCTCCAACGAAACCATGGCAGACTTTGAGTTTTGACGTTATGGGGCCTTACCCAAGAACACTTCAAGGCAAGCGATTTATACTAGTAGTAACAGATCTTTGTAGCAAATGGTTGGAAGCGATTACGGTGTCCAATGCAACAACTCATTCAATTTTGAAGTTTCTTAAAAATGTATTCGGCAGATGGGGGTATCCAGAGTCCATTATCACAGATAATGGACCTCAGTTCCAGAACTCATGGAAATCATTCTTGAGAAATGCAAATATTGAACACTATACCACACCAATTTTCCATCAAAGATCCAATCCAGTGGAACGACGCAATCAAGAATTGAAAAAAGCTCTGAGAATTCAAACGTTGACTTTAGGTGCATCAAAATGGGATGAAAAATTTGATGAAATGCTTCTCGCCATAAACAATAGAACCAACAGAGCCACTGGTTATCCACCGAGTGTTTTGTTGTTAGGACAAGAGCTTTCTAAGCCTGGAGACTGGGCTAATCCAAATTTTAGACAAAGGCAATCTAGACAACAAGGAGACCGATTGGCAGAAGCTGAAGATAACCAAAGAAAATTTCGCACAAAATATTATTCAAGAAAAAATTATACACCTGTTGTTTGGGAAAGGGGACAAAAAGTCATGATGCGAGAATTTCGTCACACTGAGGACAGGTCTCTAGGGAAGACTTGGACTGGACCTCATACTATCGTTTCGAGACTTGGAAATGATACTTATAGTATACGAAGAGACGGATACACTGTTAAAGTTCATATCAACGATCTTCGACCGTATGTTGGTTCTGCTCAGCAATCGATCCATCATCCTATAGAAGAAATGTGTCCTGAGGAAAATGTACCAAACAATGATGATTCATCTGATTATGAAGGTCCAGTGACAAGAAGTCGTAGAAGAGGACTGCCAGTTTGATATTTGTTCTTGTGATGTATTTTTTTTTTTTTTTTTTTTTTGAGAAAAAAGGGGGAAGTGTCGCAGAGTGACGCCTCTGCTATGAACACACAGTAGTTATTAGGGATGAGATTTTCCTGTCAGTTGACAGTGGCAGAAATCAAGAAATTAAATTATCCTTCAAGCGTGGAGTTTTCATAATTTAGTTGTTTTGCATTGAAACTCGGCATGGATATGCCAACGAAGTCGCCTGCTGCAACCTCCTTCCCAAGGAGAGGGTCTCGGGTGTTAAATAACCTGAAAGGTTTCACACCGGAAGGTGCTGCTCAGAGTACTCCTTCGTCAGTCTCACGACGACAGAGATTAAAGTCGGGGGTCCGACTTTAAAGTCGGGGGTCCGACTTTAAAGTCGGGGGTCCGAGATTAAAGTCGGGGGTCCGAGATTAAAGTATCGGGGGTCCGAGATTAAAGTCGGGGGTCCGAGATTAAAAGTCGGGGGTCCGAGATTAAAGTCGGGGTTCCGAGATTAAAGTCGGGGGTCCTAGATTAAAGTCGGGGGTCCGAGATTAAAGTCGGGGGTCCGAGATTAAAGTCGGGAGTCCGAAACTGAAGTTAGGAGCTAGATTATATTCGTTAAATATGTGGACAGAAATGAATAATTTCCATTGTTACTCATCAGTTTGACGTCAGCAACATGCTCCTGAATTTTCTACATGTACTCGAGAAACACCCTGTACATTTATGTACAAACAATATTGGATAATCATCACATAAGGATCAGTCAAAATCCTCCTTTTTGGATGTACACTGAATGTCAAATAATGGATCACACCTGTACGATCATTATCGTACGTATATATAGGGTGATTGTTTATATTCCACTTAATAGCTAAGAATCTCATTTGTTTGTTCAAAGGGTGCAAAAAGATTACAATACAAAACATATATTTTCACAAATGAACTACCCTGAATGTCATTCCGTTTGGGTAGAGCTCAGGAAGATGAGTTCAATGATATATGATTACATTTGTAGGTATGAGTTAACCCTTTCGGACTATTTTTATAATCTTCTTCAATAAATAGCCAAATTTCAAAGCCTTATATGAAAACGTTGAGAATCAAGTTTTCAATGCGCAGTTTTCATTATGAATTAACTAATTATATATGTTATATTGATATTTTGTCAGTATTAAGGATATTCGAATTAAACAAAAGTGATGACGTATTTTGCAAACCGATCATTTTCTCGGAATTTTCGAGTGTATTTAATTTCATTCTTGGATAGAGCTAAGAAAGACGAATTCAATGATATATATGATAGAATGGGACTGAGAACACCCGTTTCGGACTTATCCATGAAGTCCGAGATCAAAGTCGAACCCCCCCGACTTTAATCTCGGACCCCCGACTTTAAAGTCGGATCCCCGACTTTAATCTCGGACCCCCGACTTTAAAGTCGGACCCCCGACTTTAATCTCGGACCCCCGGCGACTTTAATCTCGGACCCCCGACTTTAAAGTCGGGATTCAAAAAAAAAAGTATAGGTGGCCCTTATCAGCGCCTTCGTAGTACGACTTCAATCTAGGACCCCCGACTTTAATCTCGGACCCCCGACTTTAAAGTCGGGATTCAAAAAAAAAAGTATAGGTGGCCCTTCAGCGCCTTCGTAGTTTAGGATAAACAGTTTCATTTTATTCAATTTTGTTGAAGAACTTAACTTTTGAAATATATTATTAATCATTGTGTTTCTACACTACCTATATATTCTGGTTTTCCTTCCTCAAAAATATTGCGATCAGGGATAGGTTAGTTCGTTAAGGATAAATAGTCTCTGAGTTTTGCCTAAATTAGTACTTCGAAGATGAGATATTACGGTGGGCGTGGTTTGTGCTAGCGTACAGTGTATATTTAGTAAAATCGCGTCCCGTTCCGTTACCCCGTTCTCCATAAACGTCTAACGTACCATCGACCGTGAGTTAACCTGTATATACTCCATTTCATTATATAAGTGCAACGCATGCAATAATGTGACAAATCGAAATATTCCATATTGTTATATAACATTACAACTCAACAATTTGTTGCATTCAATTAATTATTTTATTCAATGATGAAAATGTAATAACGTGACAATAACGCAAAAAGCTACTTTCTTGCTCGGCTCTGTAGTATACCTATTTCTCCTCTAGTGCTATAACGTGAATAGCGATGTCACGCAGCAGCTATTGGACCTAGAGATGTCACGATATTCTAGAAGTGTAGAGCTCGAAATTTGTCATCCGACGGTGGTTCTAACTCAAAAATTTTTATTGGCTACAGGAATCTTGGATTTGACGATGTCCTTACTAATGTTGGGATATAGAAAACGTTTGAAAAACGTATAAGTTCAACACAAACTTGTGCTTTTTATACAAATTGTTGAATATATGGTATTATTGATGACTGCCCTGAACTTGTATCCGAAATTCAGCTAAATACAAACAGTAGGTCTTGAAACAAAGTACAAATCATGGCAAACATTTAGCCCCCACTCAAGCATACCAATGTGGAATAGAATAATAATTGTACACATGTTGACATTTTCAGTAATTCATTTCAGTCTTTCAAGAAGTTAATTAAAAGATAATACCACTTTATAAGCAGCTGTGCTTATTTACTGTGATATAGATTCATAATGATCTAGGATACATAGCAACTGTGATAGGTAATAATAGATTCATACTGAATTAGGATATTCTTATGTTATATGTTTAATCATACTTGTATTTGATATTTACACAGGTATTTCCATGTTGTAATAATATATGAAGGTGATATAAAGTATGCAATGGAAAACTATTAATAATAATTATTCTATATAATTTTGAAGATTCTGATTTCTATTTTGAATTATGTTGTGCTATGACTTGTTGTGCTTTGGATAAATTTTTCTGTCCTCCACTTGCTCTAGCACGAAGTTCATCCTCTGCTGCTTTATTAACAGATTTGCTGATTATCTGCTTAATTTTCTGTGTTTCTTGATGGTGTTTCTTCTTTGGTTGGATAGGTCGATCTGTGAAGAAAAAATGTAATTTCTATGTATTCAAGTGGCCCCATTGCCAAAGGAAATATTGTGAAGGTGATACATACTGGACCTTTTTGTAACAGCATTTCCCTTTGTTTTTTTGAGCTTCAAATTTTCTGGTAATTTGGATTTTACCCTCAATTTTCCTTGTGGCATCGTAAAATAAATTTTTTATTTTTTTTTTATAATTTCAATTTAAAATTAATGATTGAAATATAAGAATCACAACATTTTAACCTACAAAATTCAAAACTTCAAAACCTAACTTGACAGTTTTGACCTTGACGTTGACACACCAACACTCAAGAGTCATTTCCATATATTTACTATTTCTATATATGGCGCATCGCCTGTACGATATCTCAACAAAAATGCGACCAAAATGAGAGGTACTTTTTGAAACTTTAAGGACGGAAAGTGGAGGATGGAAACAGCCATATTGGTTTGACAAGTTTCGTATTATTTTTTATCCATGTCGGCATCAACCGTTACCACCGATGGTAACGCATCAACGCCTATTGGTCGATTTATTTACCTATAGAGACAGGTGACAGAAGTTGGTCCCTCTTTGAGGACAGCTATGCTCCATATATGAATAATAGATATATTGTCATAGCAGACAGGGGTGCGTTCGATTAGTAACTCTAGGCCCTTTCTTTTGTACGAAAAGTGTAGCACATTCGTACACTTCGTGTAATTTACACCAATGACGGCTTAATATCAAGTAAGCTGCCGACCTCGGCAGCTTACTTGATATTTCCTATTTAGCCGTCATTGTTTACACCAAATTTGAGCATTCTTCTGATTCATGTTCATGTGTCATTACTGTCATTATTCATGATTTGTAATTTGTTATTGTTATTGAAGTTTTTATTCTCATTGGTATATTCGTGAGTGATTGATAAATGGAATAAAATATATCATTTCTGCTACCGTGAAAGTATTCGTAATAGGAGATGAAATTGTGAAGTTATCAAATAAGAGAAATATTGGAACATATAGAGAATTCTTCAAAATGCTATTTGACAATTTGAGCAAGTGTTTACAGGAAAATCCTAAACTCCTATATGATGAGGCTTGTGTTGATATTTTCAATTATCTCAACCATAGTATTACAATATATCATCAGTATACAGAATGCCACTTGTGTAATTTCCAACCATTAACAACAATAGAAGCAAATAGTTCAACTTCCATAGTTGCAAAAACAACTTCTGATTTACAATTCAACTACACTACTGATAATGGGTTCTGCTCGTGAGTTGAAGCATTACAAAATGGGTACTTGCTAATTTTCAGTAACTTCCCTTTTACAGTTATCAACAATTGCTGTATGAACATTATCAATATGGATGGAATATAACAGAGGAATGCTCACCAATGTACATAAAGGAACCTGCAGACAATGCATACCTGCGTAAGCTTCCTGATGAGGCCCAATTTCTTATTGCTCATGTACCTGTATTTTTCTTACAGCAATTTTGATGGCTTTTGTGATACTCTTTTCTTTTGGAACAGTTTGGTATATGATTAAGTTTGTTTATAGAAACAGTGAAAGACTCAGAAGACTTATTGTTTGGAATTCTGAGATTGAACATGTAAGTTCTTCAATTATTTTGTGTTCACATTCTTCATTTGACTTGATTTAAGGATCTAGGTAGTTCCACATCAGGTACACCTCTGATTTTTGAAAGGCAGCCAATAATACCCAGGAAACACCCACAAAGAATCAAATCTATAGATGTCTTCAGGGGTCTCTGCATAACTGTCATGATCTTTGTCAACTATGGAGGTGCCCAATACTGGTTTTTTAAGCATTCTACTTGGAATGGCATAACAATTGCTGATCTTGTCTTTCCATGGTAAGAAACCTAGACAAAATTATCTTCAGCATTATTCTTCAAGTCTAGAGCAATTTCTGAACTCATTACAAATTGGCTATTTTGAGTTGGAGCCAGGGTTTGGAAATATGATATTTATGTGGCTTTCAAAATTTTGGTAATATATCAACTTCATGATATTTGTTCTTCCATGTATGACAAATTGATATTCATCATACAGGACATGGAAAGAAATTCTGAATTGATAAAACCCAATCACAAATCTGTGATTAAAGGTCTATAAAAATGACAAGTTTCCATCATTCAAGTTTGAACCCCTTGATTGGGTGAAAATATTAATTAGGAATATTCTCAGATAAATTATGAACATGACAAAAAATATATTGATCACATTGAGAGTTCACATTCTCTATGTGATCAAAATATCATTTTTTTTTAGTTTATTTAACTAGAAAACAACTTCCATGAACATTGAATTATATCTATTGAACACACATGATAAGAATTTCAAAACAAAATCTTCTGAAGTTGAGAATTTGCATTCTTCCCCAGATAGGCATGCTCTTGTATTGTGATTGATTATTATTAATAAATAAATAAATCATAGCATTTTTACACAATGTCACATATTTCAGTAGATTTATAAATATCCAAGGCCGGATTAAAACCACTTGGCGCCTGGGGCACAATGAATTTTTTGGCCCCTTACACATTACAAAAATGAAAAAATGGAAAATATATTATTCTTATGAAGTTATCTTCCCATTTCAATATCGACATTTCTTATTGACAGACGTTGATGCAATCAAATGAGTTACAGGATGTTTTCATTTTTATCTTGAATTTACCATTTTTATCAAATTCTAGACCAAGAATATTTTCCATTTTTATGTTAAAAACAGAAACTGATTAATTATTGAAACGTCAAAAGTTAAGCACAAAATGTTCTTGGAACATTTTTTAAAACAAGGTGACAGACATAGGCTCTGGTGAAACCGGAAGTGAAAAATATGCGAAACTTTCCTTTCCACATACCATCCAGGGTGTTTCACGATGATCATTAATTAGCCATTTCTGGCAAACCAAGCAATAGATGAATCTGAAAATTTGATGTTTTGTATATATTTTAAACGATGCGGCGTTTGATTTCCCCTATTCACCATTTTGCTATGTGAGTCTCCTTATGAATCGTCCTGTATATCGGTCAAACCCTGTTGGGTGCATTTGCATTGATCAACCGTTCTTTCATTCTGATAGGTTTTTGTGGTTGATGGGGTTATCCTTGACAGTATCAGTTCAAAACAAACTGAGAAGCCTTGTCCCCAGACGTCTTATGATATTTCAAGTAATACGAAGATCATTAATATTATTATTACTGGGCCTGATATTGAACTCAAACAAGAACATGTCAACCATAGCCGAGCTAAGGTTTCCAGGCGTCCTACAGCGTTTGGGACTAACATACCTAGTGGTTGGCCTGTTAGAAGTTGTATTCACTAAAAGAACAGAGATTGAGGTGAGTATTTCTATGGAATTTACTGAATTCTTTTCCTGTCTTTCTGTCATTCAACATAGTTATCACAATAATGAGAAGTAAGTAGATAGGTAGAATCAGAAAACGTACTCTTTGAAGTCATTCATTCAATATTCATTTAACAAATTATGTTTCTGAAATATTGGGAAAAACTATTGAATTGTACAAAACTAAATTCTTGTAGCTCAAAACTCTCATTTTAATAGTAAATGTTTCAGCTTATTAAAGTTTCCATTCTCTGACATAATCTGGTTTTTTGTATGACTATTTCGAGCAGTGACGGCTCGTCAGGGACGGCAGGGTCGGCCGGGCCGTACCAAATAATTTGGAGAAAATTACTGATCTATTTGATGAATAAAATTATTTTCCGAAACTGTTTTCATAATTCATCGTTCATTATCCTATTGTTATGCCACTATTATTTGAATTTCATTCACTGGAACCTTTGAGTATGCCATCCGCATATACACTGAAAATCACGAACTAATTCTGGACCTACGACATCTGGTAATCCCATCGTCAAAACGCCGCATTAAGTTGAAACGCTCGCGTAGCTCATTACACTGATGCAGACGGCCGGCCGATCGGTGGTTTCTTGTCTCGACGCATCGCCTACAGATTCCCTGCTTCAAGTTTGAATTCTCGCGTATACGCGTCATACCTTGGGTGCGGCCAAGCTCTGCTGGCCGTCCGTACGTACGTAATCAGTAGTTTGCAGTGCGCTCGCTGTGCACCGTATCCGACCATTCCGACCTAATTTTTAATATACGGATTGGCATGATTGACATTCTATTCTTATTCTACATTGTAGGTATTTATAATTTTTATTCCTATACTTATTTGTAAGTTGATGTTGAAATTTGAAATGTACAAACTGAAAAAAAAATAATTTCGATTTTCGATGTTTTTGTTCACGCTTGCAGTAGTTGCAGTAAAAATGACTGGTGATTTTTGAATTTGCAATTTTTCAGTAATTCATAATTCAACATATCCATCTAATATTGGTATCAGAATTTTCCTTCAGTGCTTCTTAGCGTCAATAAGTTATAATTCAATTTGAATATTGTAATGTAACCTACTGTGCCTATTTAGGTAATATGGCAAGAAAAATGTCAGCAGTCCAAGAGCTGAGTAGGTATTGAAACATCGTAAAAAAGCTCTGGTGACGAAAATGTAATAAATGTATAACTACCAGAATATCATTTATTTATTTTCAAAGACGCATGTAGCGGTTATAAATAATATTTATGCATCCATCGCGGGAACGGGAAACATTATACATTATAGTAGAGAGCTCACCTACGGCTGCACGGCGGGCTCGGCCAGCCGACTACGAAGGAGTGGGGTGGCTTGTTACAGGAACGGCGTAGACAGATTAGTCATTGTTGTGCTTTTCGCGTTAGGTGAGTGGTTGTCGGTTATGTTGATTTTTTTGAGTTTACGTTACGTTTTCAACAGAATATAAATATTTTTTGTTCACGAGTTATTTTATTTTCTTTTATTTTATTTTTTCGACTTTCTTGTTATTATTTTTTCATACCAACTAACCCTTATCCACCTCCTTTTCCTTTCCCCATTTCCCCTGGCCAGAATGCTCTAACCTCCTCGTGGTTCTTGCTGGACAATTTAATTTTTTGGTTATGTGTACATGCTTATTTGCCATCGAACTTCACTTAAGCCGCTGACCCAACGTGTTACGTTCGCATTTCTCTCTTTCATTTTAATCCAAAAAATTAAGTTGACGAACTAGAGCAATATCTATACCCTGGCCGACCCAGGTTCTGAGGGCACGAGCCGTCACTGCTTTTGAGTTAGTCTTCAGTATCAATTTCCTTATTCTTTCACAAAACTGGATTTTAAATTTACATTTTCTGAATCATTCCACTAATTATTTCCGACGTGAATTAGGATCATCAAAATGTTTTTAATTGTTGCCCTCATTTTCTTTCATCAGCTATAATGTATGCATTTCGAAAACAAAATAGATTAATTGTTAAATGCTTCTTGACTAGGGTATCTGCACATTATTGCATGGAAGAAATTTCATATTCTACTCATTGAACCCCATCATTTGACACCAATTTCAAGTGTGTTGAGTTGTAAAGATAAAGTAATATGTCATTTTGAGGCGTGCATCATTTTGGATTTAAAATGACGTTACCTAATCGTATTCTACTCATGTCATCATCTTGGGGCGTTTGCTAATTGGATTTGAAAGAACGTCACGTATTTCTCATATCCCACTCATGAACCCCTTTTATTTGATACCCATATCGGGCCTCAAACTTATTGGATTTGGAATGACTTCACGTTTTTACATTTATCTTATCGACTTGAACTCATCAAACACTTTCATTTGATAGCGACTTCAACAGGGTTGTGAAGAAAAAGATAAGCCAACATCTTGGGGCGTCCGCCATATTGAATTATGAAAAAAATCAGATAGAATATGTTATACCGTACTTTCACGTCTAGACCTTATACATAGGCATAACTCGTGAGATATCGTTATTTGATGGGAGAGAGAAAGCGAGCTATGCCGCTTTCCTCACTCCTACGTAGGTGCTAGCCCCGACGGCGACCGATTACGTTCTTCTTCTTCTTCATGTTTCTTTAACGTCGGCCTTTTTTCTGCTACTGAGGCTATTCATCGACGGCGGTGAGCACACTACCCCCAACCGGAAATATTTGCCGAATCCTCTAGTGTCTCAACCAGAAGTAGGGATATTTTACGAGTCCAACATCCATGGCCTCGGGAGCGCTGGCTTAACGACCCCTCCGAAGGACGGCATATCCGTACCATATCTTGTGCTCATTGATATGGTAGCTGTAGCTATGATATGCTATTTCGCTACAGATGTACGGGCTAACGCGGTGTTTCCTCGAATGGTCACCATCCAATACTACCCGCGCTCGACACTGCTTTACCTCAGATATCGAACGGCTAGTCCCTTACCTGATGAGCTAGGGCGATGCCCACCGATTACGTTGCCTATGTAGTGCTTTTCGATGAAAGCACGGTATATTCAAAGTCAGATAACTTTATATATGACTTCCATTCAGCACACTATAATCATATTCCTTAGGATAATAGTGTGATTATTATACAACATAGCCTTCAATAAAAATCAAGGAGTCAAATAAAAATGGTTGGATTTCCAAATAATTATGCAAAATAGTAAATTTAAGTATTTCCTAAATCAAGTGATCTTTTTGTTTAGTTTCAAACTCAAATGACATGCGCATTGCAATCTCACCTGCCGCTTCGCCGGATATGTAGCGAAAAAATAAAAGGTATTCGTAGGACCTATTGGAATAGGCATTATTCTATCGCTTATCAATCGAGTCGATTTATTTTTTTTGAAAATTAATGGTGAATAGCCTACATATTTAATGGTCCTTCGAGCCGGACAATACATCGTGATTAGTGTACAACAGAATATGCAGGGTGATTTAGAATAAAGCCGCATTTTGAAGTGAAAAGTTCCGATCAACGTATGTCCTAAAATGCGTTTTCTTAAGTAGAAGTACAAAAAAATGGGTTTATATTAATTTCTTCGGAACTCCTGTAGGAAAAAACTACTATTCCACATTAATCAATGTAATCGCAGAAAGTTTTCATTAATGAATTTCCTTTAGCAGTGGTGTAGTTGAGATCGCATGTTGTCACATTTTCCTTCATATTTTTTCTTAGACAAATGAAGAATTGTCAAATTGGTGTATCAGTTAGGCTAATCAATACTCAATCTAAAAGTAATAACAATCCACATGACACATTCCTGCCAAATTCCAAAACTCTATAACCTCGCATTAAAACACCCTATTGGACTATTGAAAGAAATTTGAAAATCCAGGTCCATATTTGAAAAATTGAAGTTGATAATGATCACTCAAAATGTAAATGTTTTCCGAAAATTACATTTTGGAGGATGAAAATAATGAAAAGCTGTCAAAAGAGTGAACGATTCTATGATCCGATCTCGTTGAATTCACCATATAAAATGGAAGTATCAGTGTTACTTTAATTATTGAAGGTGCCTATTCAGAACTTCGGATGGTTAGCTGAAATAATGGGGTTGTTACAGTGAAAAATTGTATTTCATTATTTTTTACTACTAATCCAAACGTGTTCACTGTTACAAACAGTTTTCCCCTTACAGCTCTGTATATTTTTGAAATAATTATTGAAATTCACGATATTTCATAACATGAAAAACGCAGAGCAGCGTATGACGTCATATACCGCGATCAATCCATTGCAATCATATACGATACGACTTATACAGGGTGTTTCCGAAATTGGGGCAATGAATGAAATGGATGATAGAAGAAGAAAAAACAAAACGAAATGAAAGAATACATTTTTGTCAAAAAAACTATTTTGGAAGATATTGAGCTCAGAAGTTTGCCTGAAACTTTAAAACATTTATCAGAGATTAATAGCCTAGCCCAAGCGTTTGCTTCCGGCGAGATCACAAGCACCGGAAGTATCGATAACTTCTGCAATAATAGTTGAAAGATGTAGTATGATCATGTATGATGGTGGGAGCGCACATTTTTCGAAAAATGTTCAAATACTTAGTACATTATACACGAGATTATACACCTAGGGGATAAAGTGGTATTTTAAATTCCTAGAAAAAAATTGATAGCCCGACCATCAACCTGATCTCTTGACACTTTTTTGTGGCAATATGAAACTTCTGTTCTCTCAGATAACATTGCTACAGGGTGATAATTGAATTGGTGTAAAATTGCATCGTGGTCGTCACCTTACCGTTTGAACAAATTTTTTTTTTCATCACCTGTATCCTCTTGATTGATGCTTTCTCTCGAATGGTTTTAGGAATTCTCAAATTCAGAGCTTTGATAATCGTGTCATGAATATTCATTCAAAATGATGCATTTTTTCGATGATTAATTGAATGAAGTTGGAAGTTGGAATTCTTTTTCGAAGAATCAACGTTGTATGTATAGCCGTC